CAGTTCTTCTAATGCCATCGGGTGATTGAAAGCGGGCTAAAGATGGCGGCCTTCACACATTCCTGTAGTACTGTCTTCTTGTTCTAGGATACTCTCTCTCTCTCTCTCTCTCTCTCTCTCTCTCTCTCTCTCTCTCTCTCTCTCTCTCTCTCTCTCTCTCTCTCTCTCTCTTTCTCTAACACACACACACACACACACACACACACACACACACACACACACACACAGAGAGAGAGAGAGAGAGAGAGAGAGAGAGAGAGAGAGAGAGGGGGGGGGGGATAGATGGGCAGACAGACAGACTGTCTGGAGGATATCCTATGAAACTCCTTCAGCACGACCCTGAAAAAAAATCTCACTTCTGTGCATAAAAAGAAAAAATCTCAAATTTAATGACATCATCAAAATCATAGGCCAGCGGCCTAGCTCAGTCCATAGAGCACATAAGTGGCATTCAGGAGGTCATGGATTCGATTCCACATATCATCCATTTGCCTCCCCGCGGCTCCCTGTGGCACACTACTCGTTCTCCAGCTGAGACCTTCCCCCCTTTTTTTTTTTGCTGGGACCTTCCCCCGTCCTTGCACGGCTGGACCGCCCAGCTGGTAGATATATGTAATATGATTATATATCGTCAAAATATGCATATGTCCTCTTCTACCCCCCTCTCTGCCTACGGTTTTGACGAATTCATCGAAATTGTCCCTGACCATCTCTTCTCTTCTCTTCCCTCATCTTTTGTCCCTTGTTCTCTCCTCTCCTTTTCTCTTCTGTCTCCTCTCCCCCACTTTGCTGGCCTATCCTCTACTCTCCTCTTGTCCTCTTCACCAGCTCCTCTCTGCCTGCCTCCTCTCCTCTCCTTTCTTTGTCCGGTCTCCTATCCAATCGTGTATCCCCTCTTTGCTTCTCTTCGCCTCTCCTCTCCTCTCCTCTCCTCTCCTCTCCTCTCCTCTCCTCCATCAAAGGACAGTGTCCACCCTATTGAAGCATCTGAGTTTGTGTTCCTTGTGTTGTACTTGGCTTGTTAATGGAGTAGGCATCGGACTGACGCTCCCCAGAATGGACAAGGAGCCAGTTCGTTTGTAAACAGGAAAGTGTAGGGATGATGATCAGTGTCCCTTTTTTTCCTTTTTTGGTTCTTCAGTTCGTTCATTTGTTTCAGATTGTCGCCTGCTCATCTCTGATGCACTGGCAGACTGAGTGGGGCCCACGGAACCTGTCACTGCACGACCGACTACTCTTTTCTCTGGGACATGGTTCCCTATCCGGTGGGACAACACCCTCTCGCCTCTCGGGGACCAGGTCCTCAACTGTTACATCTTCGACGCCACACGGGCCCTACCGGACCCGACTTAGGGCTAGAGGGACACAGCAGGGCCTAAAGGCCCGGACTTGGGGTACAGCAGGCCGTAAAGGCCACGTTTTTGGACCAGACCGACGGGCAGGCCCAAACGACATTCTCGTTTTGGGCCTGGCGGTGCTTTTGAGCCTGCCGCCCGCCGATCTGATCTGAACCGTCGATCTCGACGGTTCAGGTAACGGCCAGGCCTCGCAGCATTGAGGCCGGCCTCTCGGCCACCGGTACTTATACCGGTACCAGCCTCATTGTGAGGCATCGAGCCACTGGCATGCTGCATCAGCGCCMATGCGTATYGGTTGAGGCAGCAGTGCTATTCTTAGCGCAGGAGCGAGGCAACATCAGCGGCMGCAGCGCGAGCTAGCGCAGCAGCAGCGGCGAGACAGGAGCGAGGCAGCAGCCCTCAGCAGTACGGCGGCCATAGCCCCGACCTGCAGTCGGACTGCAGCACAGTCAGGTACCAGGATGCGAGAAGTCTTCTTCTCCCTCCACGGCTACCGGCTCTCCCCTCCTCATCTCCTCCTCCTCTGCCATCTCTCCCTTCTTCTTCTTCTTCTTCTTCCCCTCCATCTCTTCTTCTTCTTCAGACTTCTTCTTCATCTTCTTCAGACTGGAGACTTGATACTAGTTGGACAGAGATCAGTGTTGGACTTCGGTGGTAAGGGGCTGTGGTACTTACCGGGTTCGAGACTTGGAGATTGTTGGGATGATACTCGGCTGCATCACAGATTGGACACCG